AACGCACATGACAGCCCCACTTTAAAGGGAAAGAAACTAAAGATTGATTACAGAGGTAACATGACTTGGCCAAGGTGAGATGTCATTACATAGTGAATACTGGGTCCCAAAGCCCCTGGGCTAGTTTTACATTGTCTCTTTTCAGTAACTAGAAAGTAGGGCCGTCTTACGTTTCCTAATGAATTATGCCCAGTGTGATTAGAACGTTAATGTTATCAGAGATTGACTGAGTACTTTCTAAGTGTCAAGAACTGTGTTGAGCATTCTACATGGATTATATAATTCAATTCTCTCAACATCCAGATTTGCTGCTTTTTCAAATGAAGAAACGTGAGATTTGCAGATATTAAGTCACCGGCCCGGGTAACTGGGCCATAGCAAGTCAACAGAGAAAGCTGCCAGCACCTGTGCTCTCAATAACAGCTCCTCCTGCCTCCTCATTCCACGGTTTCTTTGTATTTCTGACTGAGCCTCAAGCTGGTAACCTGAGGTCACCCTAGAGGATGATTTGAGCTTTTCCCCACATCAGGTGTATCTGACACAAGAATTATGTAATAACTTAGAAATGCATCTAAATTATGCTTTGTAGTTTTAAAATCGGCTTAACCAAATTCATCTTTTCCATACTCAGATATTCATTTCTGTTTTTTCAGCTGAGAATTCCCTAACTAAAAATACTAACTTCACTCCAAAAGGCATTTTGTAAGGAGTGATTTTGTTTTGTAAAGCTTTTTGTAAAGCTTTTGATTCCTAATTCTTATTTGGCATTTGATATCAGAGCTACCATCTAGGGGTGACTGATATGTAAGCCAGTGATTTTGTCACAACAGCTACCTACTGCAACTGAACAAGGAACAGGGCACCACAGGACAGAGAGAGAAATGACTTACTCTTCCTACAGAGGATGGGTGAGGGGGGCCATAAGGAAGTGAGGCTTCACCAAAGAGAACACATTTTAGCAGGACCATGGTATATGAACCATTCCTCAGGAGGAAAAGAAGGAAAAGCCATTCTAGGCCCAGGATAGAACATGTGTAAATGCTAAGACTGTAAAAAGGGTGTTGAGTTGAGAGGCCTGCAAGTATATAGGTGGATTGTAGGTGCTTTTGTGTAATGGCAGGTGAATCTGGAAGTAGAAATAAGAGTCAGATTTGAAGGAACTTTTGTGCCATGTTGAGGAGCTTGAAACTCACCCTGTAAGTGAGGAGGAGCTACTGAAGGGTATTAAGCAGGAAAGTGACAATTCAGTTTGATTGTTGAATGATCATTCTATGCAATAAATACAAACATTGGACTTGGGATGGCCTATAACTTAGGGCAAACAGGTCTACGAGGAGGTTTTTGCACACAGGTCCCCATTAAAGCAACTGTCACATAGATGTTTTGAGCTCTCATAAGTAAAATTATCATCCACTGTTTCCCTTTCTGCTTTGACTACCAAGAAGTTCAAAGCCACATTTAATCCTCATTCACAGTAACTGTATTAGCTCTTTGAATCAGCCTATTTTGGTATACCTCCATTTCATGGTGTATTAATTTTCTATTGCTGCTATAACAGCTTACAACCTATTTAGAAGCTTAAAACAACATAAATTTATCTCACAGTTTCCATGTATCAGAAGTCTGTCACAGTCTCCATGTATCAGAAGTATGACACAGTCTCAATGGGCTAAAATCAAGGTATTGCAGGGTTATGTTCCTCATTAGAGACTCTGGGGAATAAGCTACTTCCAAACTCTCAGAATTCAGTTCCATGCAATAGTAGAACTGAGGTCCCAGGTTTTTTTTTTTTTTGCTGTCAGCCAGGGGCTGTTCTCAACTTCTAGAACTTACCTGCATTCCTTGACTTGCGGTCGCCTTCCTCCATCTTCAAAGCCATCAACAGCTTCTCTGACCTCCCCTTCTGCCGCTTCTCTCTAACTGATCTTTCTACCCTCCTCCTCTGGTTTTAAGGGCTCACATGATCACATTGGGCCCACCTGGACAACCCAGGATCATCTCCCTATTTAAAGGTCACCTGATTAGAAACCTTAACTCCAGCCTCAGCATACTTAGTTAGTGTTTAATTAAATACCAGGTGATGGGAATCTTGGAGGGCACATCATTAGAATTTGGCCCACCAAACATGGTTTTAACTTTCAATTTCCATTTTAACAGTTTTAGTGACAGGCACCATGAATCCTTTTTAGAAAGGAATATATTTTTATTCTCCTTTATTATGTTTACTGTTTTGGACATAAAAGTAAATATTGTTACTGTAGAAAATTTGGAAAATGAAAATGGGAAAAAACAATTATAACCAGTTGTAATCACTCACATAGAGCTATGATTAGTATTTATATTTTTCTTTCAGTCATTTTCTCTGCATATATTCATAGAAGTTGAAGTTCAAACTGTATATGCATTATTATAATCTACTTCTTAAATTAATGTCAGGTTGAGAGCAATTTCTGGTATTTATTATTTATATAATTGCCACACAATATTACAGTGCATGAATGTACTGTACTTTACCCTATTTAAAACTGCGTGGGATGCTGCAAATTTTTCATTATAAATAACGTTGAATTACACATTTTTACATCATTGGCATTTTGGATTTCTTTCTGGATATATACCTAGGTGTTGAGTTGGGGTATTATGTCAGTTTTTTAAAAAAATATTTCTTATATTCTAAAATGTATTTGCAAACTAGTAAGTTTTAAAATATGAAGTCAGAAGAAGCATCTGGTTATGACTACAAGTGTCTTTCATTTAGAACTCTGTTGCAAATATGCAAAAATATTTCTGCAGAGTTGTATTTTCCCAGAGTATGGTTCCCAATTCTGAATACATTGTAGCCTACTATAATAAACCTCAATATACAAAAATCAGTAAAGGGTGTGGTAGTCATTAGTGCTGCTCATCAAATATTTCCTGCTCTCTTTACAGGCATATCGTAAGAATGTACTTCTCTGCTTCCTTGGAGTTTGATGCAGCTGTGCTATTTGCTTTGGCCAAGGAAATGTAACTGAATGTGTGTGTGCCGCCAGTCAGTGAAAGCACAGGGGCCAGTACGTGATTAGTCATGCATTCTCTCCCTCTGCCTTCGAGACTGGCAATGTTTCAGAGTGTGGTTACTCTACCAGCTTAGATTCTGGAGTTAAAATGAAGCAGAGCAGATCCCCCAGGATAGACAGAGTGTGAATGAGAAATGAACCTTTCTTTTTTAAGTCACTTAAGATTTTAGGATTATTTGTTACACAGTATAATCTCTCCCATTTTGTGTAGATTGGATACAGATCCTAACCAATGGAAATTAGTACAGAGAAGTCGGCTCCTACCATAACAAAAATGTAGCATTGATAAAAAAACTGTGGTGAGAATACTGTCCATGGCACTGGAAGAATGGTGACCCATGTTATGGAGGAGCAGAATATTTGGTAAAATGTCATGTACTATAACTCTGAAGGCATACTATACATCTAATAATCGTGGAGAACTAGGGGAGCAAGTTGGAAAACAGTGTTAGTAACATGTTTTGGCTGCTATTGGCTCTATATGACAAAGTATTATAGTGTAGAGAAGCTGAAGAAAGAACTAATTGGTTTACAAGTCATAATAAAAAGGAAATAGAAAATTCTCAAATTCAGGGGCTTGTAGTGTTATAAGAAATGATACTTTTCACACTTAAACAGTAAAATATGTAATTGGGAAATGGTTTTTGAGCAACAAAGTCTGATTAAAACTCAGCCTTGCAGCTAACACTAAATTAAGGTTATGGCAACAGTGTTAAAAGCTAGTGTTGAAAGCTCTGAACAGATTCAAGATGTGTATTGGTTTCCTGTTGCTTCTGTAACAAATTACTACAAACTTGTTGGCTTTAAATAATGTATATTTACTCTTATAGTTCTGATAGTCTTAAATGGGTATTTCTGGGCTAAAATCCAGGTGTTTCTGGAGGCTCTAGGGGGTAATACATTTTCTTGCCTTCTCCAGCTTCTAAAGGCTGCCCACACTTCTTGGCTTGTGGCTTCCTTCCATTCCCAAAGCCAGGAATGGCCCAATCTTTCTAATATTGCATCACTCTAACTCTGACACTGACTACTTCTGCTTCTAACTTCTGCTTTTAAGGACTCTTGTGATTACCTTGGGCCCACCTGGATAATTTAGGATTCCCTCCCTGTTTTAAGGTCAGCTGATTCGCAAACTTAATCCATCTGTAACGTTAATTCCCCTTTACAACATAATATAGCATATTTGCAAGTCTAGGGATTAGGATGTGGACATCTTTCGGGGAACATTATAATACACACGGTAAGACCTAGAAAATGCTTTAAAATCACAAAATTGTTTAGGGAAAACAGATGAAAAGTGTGGTTCTGGACATCTGATAGACACAAGATACCCATATTAAAATCAAGAGAGTAAGAGCAAGAGAGAAATAGAGGGAGGCATGGGAGTGAGGAAGCAAAGACACTCAACAAATATGAGTAATTATCTAGAAAGGAACTGTCATGCATTTTTGGTACATGAAGCTGACTGAAATCAAAGAGATAGAAATCCAGTGAAGTTTCTCAGTGAATTATACTGCCAAAAGAATCAGCCTGAACTAAAAGAAAATGTGATAGTTCATGGCTTACAATAATACTGAGGCTTCAATCATTATTGGATCAGATGTAAGGTAAGAAGTGTGCCTAGCCCCCAAGGGAGGTGTATTCCCTGACACCCACTTCAAATGTGGCCAAGAAAGATCACAGAAAGGGAGACTCTCCCAGAGGTCAAAGACCATGTAAGTAATGAGCCAAGGAGCCCTTCTTGCTCCAGGAGATGAGGCCTTGATAACATTCACCAGGTGAGGATTCTGACTTGCAATAAACCAGTGATGTGTATGCCTCCCAATTGTACACTTTCCAAATAAGAGTGTTTATTGAAATTATCTAGGTGCCATTTTACCACCGTCTATTGGGTGTCGGGAGGTTGGTGAGTAAGGAGGTTGATGACTTGACTTTTTAACTTACATGTCTCTGGATCATCAGGAGCCATATCTGGACCCGGTGCCAATGTCTTGCTTCATTCTTGATATAAGATTACCAGAGATTCTAGACTTGATGCTTGATGTTATGACTGGATGGAATTTGGGTTGTCTCTCTTAGGGACCAGAGGGAAAGAGTGTATATTACCTGTGGAAGAAGGAGAGAGGAGCAAAATTTTGATAACCAAAAGGGCAGACTGTGATAGTCATTAGTGCTGCCCATTCTCCTCTCCTTCTACCCATACAGAAGACTATCTTAGCCCTTTTTTGTTGGGTAGGACATGGGAGTAGGTCTGGACATTGGTCCAACATTTCCAAGTCAGAACACTTAAATGCTGGTGTGAGATGCTCCTGAGTTCTCTTCCCCACTGCTGGAGTGATCCTAGAAGCATGTGTGAAGATGGAGCTTCCATCAGCTTTCCAGAGCTTCCTGACCAACCCACTTTGGAAAAATAGTATGAGGAATAAATACGCTTGTTATGACTGGGGAGTTATTTGTTACTGTAGCATAAACCTGCCTGTGCTGGCTGATACAGAACACAAGGATTTTTCTTTTTTTTTTACTGTGTAAAGGTTTATCCTGAGCTTTCTTCAAATATCCCCTAAGATATTTTAATAAGAATACATGTACAGGCCTTCTATTTACACCTGATTTCAGGAATACACCTATTGGAGAAAGTAATCTACATCTTTGTTGCCTTCTTCATTTATGTAAATTTCAATAAATTTAAATAAATATTTAACAGTGAGCTAGAGATAAAGAATTTGTAAGAAAATCAGATTCATTATATCTGGGGTAACCCTGCCCTTCATTGTATCAGTTAGGCAAGGATTTAATGAACATTGATTACTGGCTCAATTTCATTGTGAAAAGGGGGTTTAAGGCTTGCCTCTGTCAGTTAAGCACTTCTGAAGGCTGGGGTAGGAGAGATGGAAAACCAACCCCATCAAGCAGTTCCAGGGTTGGGTCACAAGGGTCAGCACTTAATTATGTTACATACAGAGAGAAAATCACAAATTACCCCAAATCACAGAAACTTAAGTCTATTAACAGACCCAACATGGTGAGGTTAAAGTCAAAAATAGGGAGAGAAGTTATAAAACTTAAGTAATTGGACAATTGCAGCTAAAAAATATGGAGCAGGTGTAGCAAAAAGATGAGAAGGTACAAGATTCTTGTCATGAACAGAGCTGGGGCAAGTGGCTTCTCTGTTATTAGGTGCTAAGCACCTGGTCCAGAAGTGGGCTGGTTCAGGTAATATACAGTTTCAGACACACAGTATCCAAGCTTGGGATGTCATTAAAATAACTATGCTACTCTCTAGTAAAACAGATAAATTTCTACAGTGATTGTTTCACATTGTCAACTAATATCCTGAAGACTTCTACGATTTCACTAGAAAAGACTGGTATTAATCTAAAATGAAAAATTAACCACAGAGAAACTGAAAGAAGTAGAGGATTGTCAAAAAGAGGAAGGGAAAAGGAGGAGGAAGAAGAAGAAGAGCAGGAGAAGAAAGGAGGAGAGATGGAAAAGGAAAAGAAATGAGTTGTTAAAAAATACTAAATGAAAAGAAAAAGCTTCATTAGTTCTGGAGCATCTAAGGACCACAACAGGCTACTGCGAGAGTCCAGAGAAAGGACCCAAATAGGACTGAGGCAACCAGAAACATAAGAGAGCTTGGGTTTGCTGGTAATGCAGGCAGTGAGATCTGGCCTGGAATGGAATAACCGTATATACTTGCATCAGTGTATCCAGAGCAGAGAAAGCTCAGTAAGAAATATCTCCCAGCTGAGCCAGTACCCACCTTGTCTTTTGGCTCCTATTTTTTCACAGCCAAGAAAATCTCTGGGTGCTGCCGAGCAGTCAAGCACCCCTTCCCATAGATGGGAGGAGGTTTATTACATTTGACACAAAAAGTAAACAAAGTGTTCTGAAGAAAACCTAAGAAAGTATGCTTAGTCCTTTCCAAAGGTGCCAAATCAATCTCCCCTTGAGAAAGCAAGGTAAAATTTAAAAAATAAAAAACAATTCATCTTATGCTTACTTTGGGTAGGAATTTAAAAGAGTGCCTTGCTTTCCAACCAACATTTTGCCTCATCACTAAAGAGTACAGCAGTCTTAGGACTACACCTGAGGATTTATTTTAAAGCTGGCATAAAGCATTTCATTCCAAACCAATCCCATTTGAAATAAAATTCATTTGAGTTCAAAAACTGAAGAGATGCAAACACAAAGTTGGCATTCCTTTAACATTTTCAAAGATAATAAAAGTAACATAGCGACTGCTTTAACTTAAGTAAGACTGTCAAAATGTTGGTGATACTGCTTTCAGCTGTTTTCCAGGAGCATATCTCTTCTGAAATATTTTTCTCAGTTAATTTTTTCTGTTTAATAAAATATTTTAGCATTAAAAGCTCTCCAGTCATGAAGATGTGTTCTTAGGACCATAAAGCTAATATTAAACCTCTCCTGATGACTTAAATCTTCAAAACAGCAGCCACGTTTTGTCGTAATTGCATTCTCACTTGCCCTATGTTCATTTTTACTTGATTCGGTTTGTGCAGTGAAAGAAGAACTGAAGTCAAAAGATGTGCCAAGTATGCTCTCTGGGAACTAGATTTATCACTATGAGCCTCAGTGTGACAGAGAAGAACAAACCTGACTCCATATTGGATCTGTTCTTTTAGCTCTAACCCTTGTGCCCTGTTACCTGTGCTTAGTCATGCTGGCTCTGCACCTTTGTAAAACAATGTTGCCTATAGCCTGAAATATACATGATAGCCCATTCTCAAAGCTCTGACCTTTAAGTGTATAACACTTTTCTATCCATACAGAGATAAAAGTTGCAGAACAAAAAACAATTGTCTTGTTGGAGATTTATAGGAACGTTTTAACCAGACCTACTTACACAGCTGCAAGAACAAAGGATTCATGCACCAAGAAGTTTGCAAAGACCAGCCACTTCCCCTTCCCTTTTAGTATAAAAGAAGCCTAAATTTTAACTTGGGTAAGATGGTTCTTTGGGACACTAGTCCACCAACTCGATCTGCTATTTCTTGCCCCATCACCTAAATTTGCTATTTCTTGCCCCAACAACTCGTCTCTCGATTTATTGGCCTGTCATGTGGAGAGCAGTACGATCTTGGACTTGGTAACATCAGTTCTTCATCAGCAAAATAGGTATAATAATACCAGTTCTAGCCCCTTCACTCAGTTGTTTAGGAAACGCGATGAATCTAGCAAATTCAAATGCTTCAAAAAGAGAAAAGTACAATGGAAATTTAAGGCATGTATTATAATTGGTGTTATTATGATTTCTCTTTTAAGGTATAATTTGTGTAACTGAAACTCCAATGCAAGGGCTCATAAAAGATCTATTGCATGTTCAGGCAAGTTTGTGTGTATCCGGGAAGCCTATGAGGAAGGCATCGCTGGGAGCTCAAGGCTGTCCAGAGAACTAAGACCTTTAAGACACTAAGAAACTCAATTATTCATAACCACTGAGGCAAGAGAGGGTGGCTGGTGATGAAAAAGCTAGTTTGGTGGCTTTCACCAAGGAGAAAGTAGGAAAAATTGCTCTAATCATCTATCAATGCTTCTCAGACTTCAATGTGCTTCATATCACCTGAGAATCACATTAAAATACATATTCTGATTTGGCAGGACTGAGGCAGAGCCCGAGAATCTGCATTTCTAGCAAGCTCTCAGATGATGCCTATACCACTGCTCCACGAACTACCTTTTGAGTGGTTGAAGATCTATTCTAGAGTATTCCTAAAGGAAAATTTCACCAGGATCCTAGGGAATCTAGAAGATTAAAATTTTCACTAGTCATTTTAAGGAACTGAGAGCACAATTTATGGATACACTTCTGCAACATGTTAGAGTGGGTGGGGCATTCTCCACCATAGCACAGGAACAGGGGTTTCAGGAGGAGAAGAAATGGTTGACTTGCTAATTCCAGAAAGAGTTGACATTGCTTGACTCCTGATACCAAGCCAGGTGATGACAAGAGGGAATTGCTTATATTGTCAGGGCAAACTATTACTACTCTGTAACATTGAAGCAGCAGACTGTCATGGCCAGTCAAGAGCAAGTGAGACTTTCCAGTGATACCCTGAGGATGGTCATGAAGAGGCATCGGCTGAGGTTCCAATGATACTGGTGAAGGGCAATGAGTAAGAACGTTTCTTGGTATTATTGTGAGCCTGGTGGTCTCAGGCTGATGTCATTTGGGGAAATGTGGGTTATGTGATCATCTACATTTTATTGTTGTTACAATCATCCTTAGAATCAACATCCTTATTATAAGAGAATGATATCCCTGAGATGGTCATTGGAAATAAACCATTCCCCAAGCCAGTCCACTTCTGTGGGCAGGTGCACTTTCTCCTGTTTCTTTAGTGTGGATGAAGCCAGAGAATTAAGTGGGGCACAATTTTTAAATATAAAAATCTTGCCTAAGTAGGAAAAACAATGTCCAGCAAATAGAATATTCAAACAGATGAGTGTGATATAGAATTTCAGCATTCTCATGGCAAGAAACAGTTGAGAGAGGGTGAAGGAGAGAGGAGAGAGAAGAGAGAGAGGGAAATAGTGTGAGGGAGGGAGGGAGGGGGAGAGAGAGAGAGAGGGACAGAGAGAGAGACACAGAGACACAGAGACAGAGGGAAAGAGGTGAAGAATTCAGATGATGAAAAAATCTAAAAGAGTAAGCCATGAGAAGTTATCAACCTAGGTGCTTTCCTGTCACATACTTCACCTTCCCAAATAGAATATTCTGTCCCAAAGAAAATGCTCTCTTTTCTGTTTCTTTGTAACCATACATTATATCCAAGTGGCTTTCTACCATGGTGTCTCAATACACCAAATTGCTAGATCAGTGAAAAAAAAAAGTGGAGTTATATCTTTTTCACAGGAAATTATGCATAAATCTATCTATCTATCTATCTAATCAGTTTGATAGTAAATTTTGCTAATGAATGTGTCCTACACTGAGCATTATTTATTCCTTTAACCAATATTTATTGACTTCTATGTATCCAGCACTGTGCTAGGCATGGGAGTTGCAGGAGTGGACAGTAAAGACATTTGTCTGACATCATGAAGATTACAATACAGCAGATATGGGGGGAAAAAGAAAA